TTTGTCATTTAAACCTGCAAATAAACAACAGGAAGTTTTTAAATCTCAAAAATATTAAAAGAAAGAAAAGTTATGGAGATTAAAATGAAGAAATATTGAAGATTCTGCACTATTTTTAGGTCATTATTCAAAGTGAAGCACTGACCTTGTTGAGGTCTTTTTACGAAGCTCAGATTGTCTTTAGTTTTATCTCCTCCAGTGAAGCTCAAGCTCAGACGACCGTCCATCAGCCAGCAATCCAGCTCCAAAATCACCCAAACCCACTCACTACTGTTATATTACATCTCTGCTTTTAGCCTTCATATTATAAACAAAGGGCTTTCAGTATCTGATATTAAATATGCAACTCAATTTGTAATTAAAAATAAAGGCTGTCTTGCTGTGTATCAGAGTTTTAGCACTCAGTCTGAATCCAAGAGGACAGAAAATCAATAAAAACATGTCCGCCTTATGCTAATTATTTATTTTTACTCATAATAACCAACAGAAGGAATCATCATCAAAATTCTCACACTTTCAGCTCACAGACACTCCAGACTAACCATTTCTGAGAAAGTATCTGAGGTGCAACTTGTTTTCAAAATCTCTATATGCAAAAAAAGCTAAATTTAGCAGGCGCTACGTACATTTTTGTTCAGAAATGACCCAAATTCATAAAGATATCAAATTTCTGATAGCATTTACATGTCAAACAATCTGAGCAGCCCATGGTATACTAAAATAACAACATGGCATGTGTGACTGTCACATGTAAATACTTCATAATTGTAATTGTAATTGACCCAAAATACCAAAATCCCCAAACTTCCAGGGTTCTAACAGGATCCAGCATTATTATAATGATCACTACAGTTTAGCACATGTGACTGTAAAGAGACTGGCAGGGTGTCAGGTAACTGTCTGACTAGTTAGCTAAAGCTTCACATCAATAATTAGCAGAGTTAACTAGCATTAATAATTAGGCTAGCTGTTCGTTAGCTAGCTAGCTGAGTTGCCTTAAGCTCCTTCAGATTTGATGGTGAGTTTTTGGAGGGCTGAATCTCATTAATCCCAACAAAACTGAACACTTTCTCTAAAAATAGCTCTAATGATTTTGATGATTTGGGGTTTTTCACTGAGAAAAGTAATGAAATAAAAGTAAAAGTTGTAACAAATCTGTCAGTAAAGCAGAAATGGACAGGCAGCTGAATGAGAAGAGTGACCTCTATTAGAATGCTTCAGCTGAAGAGTTTCCTGATGTGTCACTGCACCCTTTTGGCACTTGACGCTTGTGGGGATTTCCACAAACCTTCTGAAAACACTGAGTGCGACAAGAAATGAGAAAAGAAAGGAAAACAAAGATTATTGAATGTGTGTAGGAGACCAGCTGTTTACATATTGGGGATAGTTCCAATTGCTGAGGCGCAAAGAGGAAGAATGAAGAGTCCAGCTACTGACCAGCACAAAACTGAGTGCTGTGTAAAAGGCTATAGCACACTTTACCACAAAGGTGTAAAAAAGTTCACTTATTTTAGAACAAATTGAAATTTTACTCAAAGAATTTACAAAACCTGTAGATAGTTTACTTAGTAAAAGTGGTTCCCCAGTGTTTTACAGATAAACTCACCATGTTGCAGTTCACAGTGTAGAGAAAGTGTAGATGATGTTCAGCTTCAGGCTCTGTCTACAAACTAGATCCTGTAGCGCCATCATGTGGTCGTCTTGTGTCATCAGCATGTAGAATTGAAATTACTGTTGGAATTACAGTCATTGTCATGCACAAAGGTAATGCTAATACCACAGGGATTCCTAGTGGTTATAAGACATACACCGATCAGGCATAACATTCTGACCACCTGCTTGTTTCTGCGCTCATTGTCCATTTTATCAGCTCCACTTACTATATAGGTGCACTTTGTAGTTCTACAGTTACAGACTGTAGTCCATCTGTTTCTCTGATACTCTGTTAGCCCCCTTTTACCCTGTTCTTCAGTGGTCAGGACCCCCATGGACCCTCACAGAGCAGGTACTATTTGGGTGGTGGATCATTCTCAGCACTGCAGTAACACTGACGTGGTTGTGGTGTGTTAGTGTGTGTTGCACTGGTGCGAGTGGATCAGACACAGCAGTGCTGCTGAGAATAGTCCACCAACCAAAAATATCCAGCCAACAGCGTCCTGTGGGCAGCGTCCTGTGACCACTGATGAAGGACTAGAGGATGACCAACACAAACTGTGCAGCAGCAGATGAGCTATCGTCTCTGACTTTACATCTACAAGGTGGACCAACAAGGTAGGAGTGTCTAATAGAGTGGACAGTGAGTGGACACAGTGTTTAAAAACTCCAGCAGCACTGCTGTGTCTGATCTACTCACACCAGCACAACACACACTAACACACCACCACCACGTCAGTGTTACTGCAGTGCTGAGAATGATCCACCACCCAAATAGTACCTGCTCTGTGAGGGTCCATGGGGGTCCTGACCACTGAAGAACAGGGTAAAAGGGGGCTAACAGAGTATCAGAGAAACAGATGGACTACAGTCTGTAACTGTAGAACTACAAAGTGCACCTATATAGTAAGTGGAGCTGATAAAATGGACAATGAGCGTAGAAACAAGGAGGTGGTCAGAATGTTATGCCTGATCAGTGTATTTGCGTAATGCTCTACAGAACACTGCATAACATGACAAATAACATATTGAACTTGAAAAAGAAGTTTAAGGCCCTTTCAAGCCGTCATATTTCCATTTTACCAACTTTTTAATCTTCAGACATACAGCATGATTTACTAGTAGTCATTTGTGGTGGTTAGATTTGAATTTTCTCAACATTCTGCTCTTCATTTCCTATGGGGAAAAATCAGGTTTGGTCAAACACTGTACAGAAACAGTACTGAAGTGAAAACAGCACAAATTTATTTCTTTATTTATTTTAAATATATGCTCATTCTAAAGTTGATGCCTGCAACACATTCCAAAAAACTCGGGACAGGAGCATGTTTACCACTGTGTTACATCACCTTTTATTTTAGCAGCACTTAATTCTTGTTTGAATACACCAAGTGATCCGGTTTTAGAGCAGAATTCTTATGTTTGCCTTCAGCTCTGCAATCAAACGGCACCTTCGTTGTTGTATTTTGCTCTTCTTAGTGCACCACCTGTTTTTATTAGTACACAGGTCTACACTGCAGGCTGGCCAGTCTAGCATCCACTCTACGATTATGCAGCCATGCTAATGTGACATGTTCAGAATGTGGCCTGACGTCATCATGTTGAAATAAGTATGGACATCTCTAGAAAAAGACGTCATCTAGAAGGCAGCATATTGTTGCACCAAAACATATCTTTCAGAGGTAATGTTGCCTTCACAGATGTGCGGGTTACCCACTAATACACCTCCATACACTGACATGAGATTGTGAACTTTACACTGGTAACAGTCTGGATAGTCTTTTCCTGGAAAACATGTGGTGCCCGTCCGAAGCAGCAGTCTTGGTGCCGTTACTGATGTAAAAAGACTATAAACAACAATTACATATTCAGATTTTTTTAACCCAATTTTCTCCCCAATTTACTTGTGTCCAGTTCAGTATGAACATTCTTGTTTTTGTATCTTACCCATTCTGTTGCATTAAACTAAATACAAATACCTCAACCACGAAGCATGCTTAAAGGATGCTAACACACTAACATGGCTAACAATGAATAAAAGCTAAGACCATAGATATCCATACCTAGATGCCACGTTGTCTGTTGTTCTCTATCTGAGGCGATACGTCTGCACGTCCGCCACGTTGGAGAGGTCAAGATCCTCTTGTGAACAAATTCACTTGTATTAAGAGACGAAGAGTCTCAGGATTAAATCAGCCCCAACTTCCTTATTACTCAACCCATTTTCACCAAATCTGTTTAGTTATAATCCTCAGACACAGATTAATCCAGGCTGCACGGAGCTGCTCTTTGATTTCTTTAATAACTGATCGTGATAATTAGCCGTCCAGACCAGCAGGAAAGTATTCAGTCTGCACCTGACGTTAAAAACCGAGTTTAGTGCGAGAAACAAAACAACACACATCAGCAAATCCATCAATGTGTGAATCACTTCTAATATTAATGCATATAAAAATAAAATAAACCCCCAAAACACAGAAAGAAGGACGAAGCTAAAGTCCTATTCGCCAGCTTCTTGTTTGAATTTTCCTGTTCCACCTTAAATGGTGCAACAGTTATTTTCTGGTGCCTGAAGCTGCACCATTTAAGGTGGAATGGAAAAATTCAAAGAAGACGCTGGCAAATAAGATCTAACTTCAGCTTTGTGTAAGAAGGTGCTAACGCTAATCTATTATGAATATCTACACAGATTAAGGAATGATATAACTTACAAAGCTTTAACCATCAGTGTAAATAAATAACTACTACATAAAGTTAAGATCCTGAATAGACTATTAAATGAAATAAGCTTCATATAAAACCAGAGGAAAAACAATCACATCAACAGGTTCTCTGTGCTTCACCAACCACACGGCCATATCTACATAAACACCACACAGACAATACGCATCACACAGACATGAGTGTGGATCACTGCGTTCCCTCCGTTATATAATCCTGTCCCACTTTCTGAGTGTGATATTCCTGAAATAGTGTAATTTTGGACAGTATCTTTCTTAAACCGCCGCTCTGTAATGGTACTGAATGCAGTCCAGCAGCGATGTTGACCTCCCCAAAATAGTGGCGCCGTTGACGTGCCTGGCTGGACCCAACGCGGCATCTAGGTATGTATATCTATGGCTAAGACACACCAGTTAGCACTATGTTCTTTTCATAATGCTAACCTTTCACCCAGCTTTTATTCATTATTTGCATTTGGGTCTTTCTCTGCCAGCAGGTCCAAACTACCACAGGGCTCCCTGATCCATGGCTTCCCATACAAAAATGCAATAAATTGAAAATATATTCCAGTATATTGTATTTACATTATGGAACACAGTACACTGATAACTTAATGTTCTATGGCTTTAGCCGTGCACGTTCTTCACCTTCTCGGCCATCTCCACAGAGTGATGTAGAGAAAGTTCCCTCTCCATAAACATCCTCTGCTGCTCGCTGCTGGCCAGCCGGCAGGTCAGCCAGGTGGACAGCGTGCAGCCCCCGATCCCGATGCAGGCCAGAGTGAGCGAGGCCAGGTGAAGAGAGGGCAGAGCGTCCATCCGCCTGGCCAGCGCTCGCACAAACTGAATGTTCAGGATGCCCCCGATGAGCCCACAGATACAGCAGGCGGAGAACAGGATCATCTACACAGAACAGAACGAAGGCCAGGTCAGTTAAACTAATATAACTGCAATAAAATAATGACTCTACACTGTTGTGGTTCTTCAAGGGTTCTTTAGTAAAGACAATGATTATATAATCTATATAGAACCATGAACACTTACAGAGACATTTGCATGCTTAAATGGTTCTTCAGATTGATGGAGAATGTGTTGTATATGGTTCTAAATAAAACCTGGTTCTTCAAGGGTTCTTTAGTAACGACAATGGTTCTATATAGAACGATGAACACTTGAAGAGCCATTTGCATGCATAAATCTTCTTTGTGATTCTTTGTTTGGTGAAATGGTTCTTCAGTTGATGGAGAATGTGCTGTATATGGTTCTATATAGAACCTGGTTCCTCAAAGGTAAAGACAATGGTTCTATATAACCAGGAACACTTAGAGAGCCATCTGCATGCTTAAATGATTCTGTACATGGTGAAATGTTCTTCAAATTGATGGAGAATGTGTTGTATATGGTTCTATATAGAACCTTTTACGAAACTGATTAAAGCTTGAAAAAATAAAAGAACGCTTTTCAAAAACATTCTATATAGAACTATATACAACACATTCTCCATCAATCTGAAGAACCATTTCACCATGTAAAGAACCCTTTAAGCATGCAAATGGTTCTTTGAGTGGTCGTGGTTCTATATAGAACCAATTTCTTTGCTAAAGAACCCTTGAAGGGACCATCTTTTTTATGAGTGTAGTAAAAGAAAATGTAGGAAATCAATGCTGAGTGAGAAGGTCTGGGTTCCACAAGCTTTCGGAGTTCCCCTAAGAACTGCAGTGGCACTTCTTAGAACATCCATAGGAACGATGAGGCTGAAATTGCCGTCTTATTGAAATTTTTCAGTCCACCTTAAATAGTGCAGCAATTCCATTTTGGCATCTATTATTAAAGGTGGTAGAATGGAACTGCTGCATCATTTAAGGTGGACTGGAAATTCCAATGAGATGTTGGCAAATAAGAAGCTGTTTAGAAATTTAAGTTTGTTTGACTCATTTCTTCTTTTTTTGGATCCTTCTGGTCTAAAATACGCTAAAACTCCTTGTGGTCATGATGAAGATACAAACTGTGTATGAAGTGATGTTTGCTAGAAAGGTACGAGGTCAGTATTACACCAAAATCTGGAATTACAGTCTGCTGGCATCACAAGAGCCGGCAAAGATGTTGACCTGCTACTGCAGTCACTCATGTCTATTAACCAGTAACAATGTTATGTGTATAAAAGGGATATTCCTCCAATTTTTCTAAATTTCTGCATAAGTAGAAGTTCCTTCACACGTTGTTTTATGATAGTTTTAAAAAGATTTTGTGCCTAAAATGTATTTGTAAACTCCATTCATGGTGGAGGGATACATGCAGGGTGCTGTGAGGCAAATAGTCCCCAAAGAAAACTTATTATTTCCAGATTTTCCACTATTTTCCATCATCAACATTCCATATAAACTCAGAAGACTCGTGTAGGTTCACTGGTGGTTCTGGATAGTAAATAAAATGTCTATATCTGTGTTGTAGTCATGGCGACCCCTGGTTCCTATCACCACCATTGTAAAGACATCTGAACCATTTCACACCCAAACCGCTCTGAATCACTTTGTTTACACCTCACATGCTGAATAATGCGGAAATTAAAAACACGGTGGAATTCTAAGCTTTAACTTACCGTCAGTCCAGTCCTCTTCTTGGCGCACAGCAGCCCACAGAGTCCACACAGCAGGAACTGGTGACCAACACAAAGACATCAATAATGACCTCCACCCATCAAGAACTGACAGAGTATAGAAGATGTGATACTCAAAATAAAGTTGAAGTGTAATGTAGTTCAGGTTCAGTGTAGTAGAAGCTGCAGTGAATACAAATATTATTAACTTCTTGTTTACTATCAGTTAGTGTTGCAGGTCCAAAACTCTGGAACACTGTCCCTCTACATCTCTGACCACATAGATGTACATCCATTTTAGGTCTAACCAATCATTTATTCCTGTGTATTATTATTATTATTATTATTATTATTATTATTATTATTATCCTTTTACATTTTTTTTATCTTTATCTTAATCGTCTGTGTAGTGTCTATGGCCCTTATAAATAAAAGTGTGTTGTTGTTGTTGTTGTTATTATTATTATTATTATTATTATTATTTAATATTTGTTTTTATCTTTATCTTAATCTTCTGTGGACAGTGTCCTTGGGTATCTCAAAAGGCCGTCATAAATAAACTTCTTTTATTATTATAATTATTATAATCTGAAAGTGTAACTTCCTTGTTTGTAGACTTTCCTGAAAACAGGGAACTGTATAAAGCTGTGCTGAATGTATATTTGTGCTTATAAATATGCAAATAATTATGGCAATTAACCATTTCAACAATTGATTTGACAAAAATGCTTTACAATGCAAAACATGAAAATTTTATCTGCAAAATAAACACAGCAAGGAGATACTCAGACACCTCAAAATGACCAACATGGTCACTTTGCAGGAGAGGTAAAAAAATATTATCTTTGATATATGCTAATGAGATTTTTGTCCATGTATCATTTCCATCTGTTGGTCATCAAATGTTCATACAATGTAAAAGGCTGGAGGTGAATAAAGATGATGTAAAAAAATGACACTGTACATTGTACAGTGTATACATCTTAATTCAATCACTCTCTCTGGCTCAAAACTCCCTTCAACCCACATCCTAATCCAGCCCTGGTGCTAATTCTAACCCAAACTCTGTTGAGAACCAGATAGTTTGTTAATTTGAACATCTACAGGGAACGTAAAGGGGTCTAACCAAATAAAGTGTGAGTTATAAGGTCTTGATACAGCAGCATTGAGTTGTGTCAAGTGTAACAACATTGACACTCCCACATTCCAGGATGATGAGGTAGGGTGTCAATCATTGAGATAAAAAATCATCCAGAATGGTTGTTTGCAGAGACTCAGATTTCTTTACAGTGGTGGTGATAGGAACCAGGGGTCGCCATGACTACAACACAAATATAGACATTTTATTTACTATCCAGAACCACCAGTGAACCTACACGAGTCTTCTGAGTTTATATGAATGTTGATGATGGAAAATAGTGGAAAATCTGATATAACAAGTTTTCTTTGGGGACTATTTTGCCTCACAGCGCCCTGCATGTATCCCTCCACCATGAATGGAGTTTAAGTTCTCTAAACTATCCTAAAACAGTGTCTCAGTCATCAGGCAGTGAATTCATAACCATTTCATGTAGGAACTTTCTGTGAGGGAGCTTTTAGAGGTGGACGTCTGGTTCCTATCACCACCACTGTGAACAGTTCTGACTCAGTAAGTTTATCTAGAACGGAGCGTTCCACACCAAACCACTCTGAACCACTCTGTTTACATCTTAAAAAATAAATTTGGAGAAAAAAACGAGATGCATGCGACTAATTTTTTGCCTGTTGTGCTTATAAAATGAATCAAAAGGAATCGAGACTGAGACGTACGAACACGCCGCTCCATATCGGTGTGGAGGTGGACAGATGGGTTTGCTGCACCACGCCTTGGAGCTCCAACACGCCCAGCGTAACACTGGCCACTCCAACGCCCATCTCGAACAGGGAGAGCGCCACCAGACTCCAGACGATCTTCCTATTGCTGCACATCCTCCAGTGGACACCATTCCTCCAGAGAGAGCAAGTCCAGGGGAAAGAGCCCCCCTTCACACACTGCTCACGGGGGCACGTCCACTGTTACTGCCAAGAGCCGTCCGAGAACACATTCCCAAAGAGCGTCCAATCATCGAACTTGATCGCAAAACAAATCCCTGTTACAGCATCCAAGCAGAGGGAAGATGTACCATCAGAACCTGCAGCGATGCTCCCTCAGATCCATAGAGAGTCTAGAACTCGGAGGCACTTTGCCAGCCCAGGTGACATGACTGCTTGACCTGCATTGGCCTCAAAACCTTTGTCTGATTCCACTCCTCCACAGTCAGAATCCATGGCGTGGAAACTTTTACTCCAAGAACGGCAACATTCTCAAGGATCGACCAGTTCAGAGGTCACTTTCAGGTGTCTGCAGAGACCAAGAGTGGTCTGGGCATCCTCTTGAGAAGCCACCCTCTCTGCGAATGCCTATACACACGCCTACCGCAGAGCGGGGCACTATCTCCCGCTGACAAGATCATTCCGAACAAGGGCCAGAAAAAAAGCCCTGATGCTGGAATGGCAGGAAGCTTTCTATTCTTAGCCCTCATCCACTGTATTACATAATGAGGGCTCCTATACGTGCCCAGCGATCCTCAGCGAGCCTCGCAGTGGCCTGCCATCCTGCGCTCGTGAACCAGTGAAAGAGTGCTGCAACAAAGGCGGTCATCTCCCATTAATCTCAAAGTGATCTGCCTCAGCGCTCAAGAAGAAAGAGGGACCCAGATAGTGCTGAGTGAGTTCACGACATTGCAGTTCTTCCTGCTGGCACTTCTGTCCTCGCTGACGAACAGGCTAAAGTGCCTCAGCTGGAACCTGAACAGAACATTTAAATACCAGTTGGATAAAGGTTTACCAGCAAAGCAGCAGTGCTAAAACTAAACTATGAGTACAAATGGCAAAAAAAGTATTTGGGAACTGATAAAAAAAAAAAAAATCATGAAATCATGAATGAAATAAGCAGATGGGGAACCCTCAGGATCTTCAGAGGGGTCTTCAAAGAAGGCCTAAAGTCCAAGTCAGCGGATGTGTTGAGAGAGGAACGAAATGTAGTTTCTCCAGGACGCAGTGCAACTTTAATTCCTGCAGATTTCTTCTTCTGATTTCCCTCAGATAGTTTTGAACAGGAAGAAATTGGCTGTATCTACACTGCAAAAAATAGTATCTTGTCAAGTGAAATGATCTTAAATCTAGTCGATCTGTCTAATATTTCCCTTTTGAGATGGCTGTGCATTTATTCTAAGATTATTTAGACATATAAATTTATTTTTTATTTTCTAGACATTAAATACTTATTTTAGGCAATTTTATTTAGTAAAATGATCTCACTATACTGGTATACATACACTCATATACATATCTGCCAATACAGTGAGATAATTTTACGTAATAAAACTACTTGACAGGTAAAAAAAAATGTCTAGAAATGAGGTGAATAATCTAAAATCAAGCTTACAACAATCTGAACAGGAGAAATATTAGTTTTATTGACTATACTTGTTATATTTGTTTATAATTTCACTTGACAAGAAACCATTTTTGCAGTGTATCTAGAACCATGAAGACAAAACCCTGTTTGGATAGTTTTCTAGATTTTTTTTCTCCAAGTTTTGTTTCCAATTGAAAGTTAAAAGTAATATGAGTAATACACTCTTAAAAAATAAGGTTCTTCAAGGGTTCTTTAGTAAAGAAAATGGTTCTGCATAGAACCATGAACACTCAAAGAACCCTCTGCATAATGAATGGGTTCTTTGCATTGTGAAAGGGTTCTTCAGACTGATGAAGCTTAAGCATTGCAAGTTCTTCCAGGAAGTCTTTAATGCTGTGTCATCCATTCATTCATTACTCCTGACAAAACTAGAAATGTGCATTTCCTGAAGGAAACCCAGAATGTTTGCACAGCTTAAATGGTTCCCACTTCCTGCTAGGTTGCTGGGTGGTTGCTATGGTATCCAAGGTGGTTGCTAAGGTGTTGCTGTGTGGTTGCAAAGGTAGCACAAGTTGTTGTTATGGTGTTGCCAGGAGTTTGGTATTGTATCCCGTGTGGTCGCTAGGTGGTTGCTATAGTGTCTCAGGTGGTTGCTAAGGTGTTGCTAGGTGGTTGCCATGGCATCCGAGGTTGTTGCAGTGGCCTCCAGGTGGTTGCTAAGCTGTTGCTAGGTGGTTGCTATGGTGTCACAGGTAGTTGCTAAAGTGTTACCAGGTGGTTGCCATGGTATCCGACGTTGTTGCTTAGGTATCCCGGGTGGTTGCTAGGGGACTGCTAGGTGGTTGCCATAGTATCCCATGCGGTTGTTAAGGTATTGCTAGGCCATTGCTATGGGATCCTATGCGGCTGCTAAATTGTTGCTAGGCAGTTGCCGTCGTGTATGAGGTATTTCTCACGTCGTTCATAGGGAGTTGCCAGGGAGTCTTTAAGTCTTTCTAGTAGAACTTATTTCTTGTTGACTTCTTGTGCTTAATGGCTGTTTTGACTGGAAAGTAAATAATAATAATAATTCGCTTAAGAACAGATGGATTTTTGGACTATAAATACAGCAAATGCAAAACTTACATTTCAACATCGTTTGAGCAGCAGCTTTGTAAACAAAAATCTTGAAACGCCCAACACAAAACTGTCCAATCAGGGCTGTTTTCTTCATGCTGTCTAGATAGATGCAGCCAAGCTGCTCACAATTATTACTATTTAAAGATAGTGATGGGAAATTAGAAGTAAATGAAGAGGGCTAGTTTTCCTCCCCTCCAAAGTTCAGCCTCAGAAGTTGGTTTTACATTTTCTACTTCTCACCTTCCCAGTAATCCCAGCGTGTTTTATGCGTTTACGGTTTCTATTGGAGCTCTCAGTGCTTTCTAAGAAGGAATAATAGGGGAATGTTGGTGGCATTAGAGCTTCCTCAGCAGGATGAGCTCAGACATGTCTATTTCTGATGAGCACTGATCTCAGACTCTGATGGAAATCGTATCTGACAGGGCTCAGATCATCACGACAAATCACAAGTCACAACTGGGCAAATCATGAGGTCATTTAAGGTTGAACAGTCTGAATTAGTCCACTCCCTAACGGTAACCGAAAGCACATCAACCAGAAGGACTACGTCAATAAATGTACCTAATGGGTTAAAAAATCTACAGACAGTAAGAAAAACAAACCTGTGAGAAAGAACCACTGAACATGTTCACAGCTGATAAGACGTGGTGTTATTTATGACGGCCCTGGAAAGTCCAGAATTATTTCTAGCCATAAGCGATACAAGCAGTCGCTCAGGGCCCCTAAACCACTAGGGGGCCCCACGAGTATGTCGTTTTACTTTTTCTTAACATTTTGGCCAAAAATCACAAAATCATCACTGATGACTTTGTTTAACCCCTTAAATGGCCGGGGCCCAAAGTTTTACCACACACTTCTATAACCTAAGAACAGTGGAGCTGCACACTTGAACCAAAGAATAAAAAAGATGGTTCTTTAAGGGTTCTTTTGTAAAGAAAATGGTTCCATATAGAACCATGAACATTTAAAGAACACTCTGCATAATTAAATGGTTCTTTACCTTGTAAAAGAGTTCTTCAGATTGATGGAGAACCTTTTTGAAAAGAGTTCTACATAGCACCAAAAAGGGTTCTTCTGTCATTACAAGTTTGACATCGTAACAATAGAAGAACCCTTTTGGGTGCTACATAAAACCCTCATCAAAGACCCTCACATACAACACATCCTCCATCAATCTGAAGAGCCATTTAACAAGGCAAAGAACCCTTTATTTCATGCCAATGGTTCTATAAGTGTTCATGGCTCCATATAGAACCACTTTCTTTACTAAAGAACCCTTGAAGAACCATCATTTTTGAGAGTGTAGTTTGCATTGTAGTCCATGTAATCGTTGAATAATAAGCTGTACTACATAATAAGGCTTTTTTAAGGGGTTAAAACAAGTCAAAAGCAGTAATGATGCAACATTTAACATCTTTTTATTTTTTGTATTCATTTAACTTTCCTTTATTTACGAAAACAACTAATTAAACATTCCCTTCCCTCTTTATATAATTAACTGTTTTTAGCATTGATTAAACTTTATTCTTGATGAACAAATGATTATTTTTCATTTTAGCATAGACAGTAAAACAAATACGTTGCCCCCCACCAGCACCCCCAACCCCTCCCCCAAGTAAGAGGTTGCTAAGGGCCCCTAAATGTTCATAGACAGCAGTGCTCGTTATCACATGTTCCTAATTGATCTAAACACTGAACTGGCTATGGTTAACCCTTTGCTGCAAGCTGTTGCCATGTGGCAACAATGACATCTTTCGCGTAGCTACGATATATAAAAGTAATTTATACACAACAATTTCATAAAAACATTAAAACACAACCTGCTGGCATTTCATTTTCATAAACAAAGTCAGTTTAGATGCTTTAGATGTTTAGTTTGATACAAAAGGATAAAACATTGTTGCCAAATGGCAACAGCATGCGTCAAAGGAACTGCAAACGGCAATGCATTCCAAACAATACACAATAGAAATATTATATTCCAAATTAATGTTTTTATCAATGTTTTTACTTTAATACCTTTCTGCATTCTAAATTCTTGCACAAACTAATAAATGTATTGTTTTCATGTTACTTTCATTGTATGCATTGCACATTGCAGTTCCATTGTAGCCTGCTGTTGCCATGGCAACAAAATGCAAACGCAATATTTTTTCTCATTTTTTCCTCCAATTTCAATTAATTATGCCATTTACAATAAGAAAAACTACAAAATAATTTATTTTTTATGTGTGTATAATTCAATAACAGGGTAGACAACACTCCTTAAAAAAGGAGTCCTTCAGAAAAGTGTTGTCTGACTTCAGTCCATGTAAGGTTAATAATATTCTGGCACGGCTCTTGTCCTCCTCTGGGCGCTGGCATGCATGGCTGAGGGCTCTTGTCCGGAAAGCCTGCAGGTCACTGCTCCATCTCTAAAATAACTCTCATTATCCCTCAACATCTACGACCCTATCAGAGCCTCACAACCCACTGACTACAAACCTGCTGGGACTTCAAAACCATCTATTCTACAAACTGAATAGGATCCGGCTCCTCTGTGGGCAATTTTACTGGGTCAGATACACAACACACTTCTTCTACAAGAGAGGCTTTTACATCACAACCATGATTATGTAAACAGGCAACTTTGTGAATGGGACAGAGGGCCGTGAGAAGCAGGAGCCCAAGAATGAACCCAGTTCTGTACTTTTAAACAATAGAAATCAACTTAAAGATTAAACAATCAGAATGAAATTAAAGTCTAACTGAAATGGACTATACTGTAATTGATTAGGGATCACCTTTATCAAATGAAGACAGTGGTCATCTTTGAAGATGTATTATTAGTTGTACAGCCTCAGCATACTCACAGACTGATATTAAAATGTAGGCTAAATGTAGTCTGTTCTACAGTTTCTCATTAGGCTGAATGAATAACCGACTCTAAATGTAGGTATTGTGATATAAACTGAGTCTGTTCTACAGTTTCTCATTAGGCTGAATGAATAACCGACTCTAAATGTAGGTATTGTGATATAAACTGAGTCTGTTCTACAGTTTCTCATTAGGCTGAATGAACAACCGACTCTAAATGTAGGTATTGTGATATAAACTGAACCAAACTGAACCAAAAGATTTACCATATGCATTCATATTTAAAGACGAATTCCACTATTTTCTCAAAATTCCCCCATAATTCAGTGTGTGAGGCGTAAACAGAGTGAGTTCAGAGTGGTTTGGTGTGAAATGGTTCAGATGTCTTTACAGTGGGAAAATACTGATAATATTGATGGGTCGCCATGACTACAGCACAAATAGAGACATTTTATTTACTATCTAGAACCACCAGTGAACCTACACGAGTCTTCTGAGTTTATATGGAATGTTGATGATGGAAAATAGTGGAAAATCTGAAATAAGTTTTCTTTAGGGACTATTTTGCCTCACAGCGCCCTGCATTTTATGTATCCCTCCACCATGAATGGAGTTTAAGGCCAAAACTATCATAAAACAGTGTCTCAGTCATCAGGCAGTGAATTCATAACCATTTCATGTAGTAACTTTCTGTGAGGGAGCTTTTAGAGGTGGACGTCTGGTTCCTATCACCACCGTTAGCACCTCTGACTCGGTCAGTTTCTCTAGAAAGGAGCATTTCAAACCAAACCACTCTGAAAGACTGACATCTTAAATGTTTAATTATTCAGAAAATGTGAAATATGTAGCCCCCTTCAGTGTAACCTGTTCTCTGTCTGGCAGGAAAGCAAGCAAACCAAGTGAAATTCCACTTTCTTTTTTTTGTAAATCCCATGCTTTTGTGTCTGATACAAACAGCCCTGGCCTGTTAGGGCGGCTGGTTGGATAACAGTGATTTGGTATAAGCACATGAAACCAGAGCAAAGCAGATTAGCAGAGCAGAACTCGACAGCAGTCTCAGTGAAAAAGGGCTTAGGTAAACAGACTCGTTAAACAAACACGCCACAGCTCACACTCAGAGCTGAAGAGTGCAGGGACACTTAGGTGGGCCGACATTTTTGTGAGAGCGTGAATCGAAACATTTGAGAGAAAGTGACATAATTGAAGAGTAATAAGCTTCCAGCATGGCTTCACTGCAAATGAAGCATTACAATACTGAGGTCACTATAGAATCCAACAATGTCTAAATAACATAATTTAAACACTACTGAGAGGAAGTGACAGGCTTGAGGCTGAGGCGTGCAACACTGGAATACCCAGAAGGCACTGCAGATACAGTGCTGTCCATGCCTTAAAGAGAAATGCCACCAATTTCTGCATAATTATGTGGTTAGAATGCAGTCATTCATGAAATGCTCTGTTCTAGAGAAACTTGTTCACAGTGGTGGTGATAGGAACCAGACGTCCACCTCTAAAAGCTCCCTCACGGAGTTACTACATGAAATGGTTATGAATTCACTGCCTGATGACTGAGACACTGTTTATGATAGTTTTGAGAGGAATTTGGCCTAGAAATCCATTCATGGTGGAGGGATACATAATATGCAGGGCGCTGTGAGGCAAAATAGTCCCCAAAGAAAACTTATTATTTCAGATTTTCCACTATTTTCCCATCATCAACATTCCATATAAACTCAGAAGACTCGTGTAGGTTCACTGGTGGTTCTGGATAGTAAATAAAATGTCTATATTTGTGTTGTAGTCATGGCGACCCCTGGTTCCTATCACCACCACTGTAAAGACATCTGAACCATTTCACACCAAACCACTCTGAATCTCTCTGTTTACATCTCATGAGCCGTGCAGACATTTAGTAAAATTGGTAGAATTTTTTAAAATGCATATTCCATCTGACTGAACATACAAACGGGTGAAAACTGTAGGGAAAATCCAACATGAAGTGTCTTAGTAAGGTGTTGGGCCAACAGAATAGCTTCAATTCTCCTCAGCATAGACTCTTGAAGTGTCTGGACCTGTTCTAGAGGGATGGAACACCGTTCTTCTAAAAGATATTCCCTCAGTTGGTGTTTTGTCGGTGGTGATGGAGAATGTGGGTTAAAACTTAAGTCTAAAATCTGCCACAGACGTTCAACTGAGTTGAGATCAGGTGACTGCGAAGACCATAGCATCTTCGTAGTGCTGGAAGAGACAGAATAACTCTGTACTGATTTGCAGTGATCCTTCCTAAGGACCCAAACCAACCCCCCCACCCCCATCTTATGGTAAAAGTTAACGTTTTTCATTCGCCCATAAAAAAGTTACTTTTTTGAGGTATAAAGTTGTTCTGACAGCAACACTTTGTAGTAGGGCCTAACTGATATACCGGCTGGCACCATGATCCATGGTTTTTATCAAAAACATTGCAGATAAAGTCCTGAAAATTAGCTGCTTTGAGTAAAGCATGAATAGGATTTGAACTTTGACGATCTATCTGAACTCCAAACATCATCATGGCATTAGAAAACATTTAAAATATTATCCAAACATTTAGCATCCAAAAAACACATTATAACACAAACATTTCTAAACAGTACCAATGAACAATAAGAAACAAAAGAGGTAATAAACAGAAACCAAGACCGCAGAGAATTCTGGGTAGCTCCACCCCAGTGTTAAAATATTTACATTATCAAAGACTGAGTTTCTGCTGTTTTATTTGAGCTTAAGAAATTTGACAATTAAGAACTGACAGTGATGTCAGTCAGTGATGCAGTGTTTAACTAAAGCTGCTGGTGTATTAGTGTAATATTAAAATCTAAAATATATAAGTGAAACGATACACTTTAGCGTAGGGTTCTGTTCATAAGGCTACATGACACTAACATAAGCTTGTCAGGACAACTGACGTAACCCTACATAAACGTTTATAGAGGCTTATTCCAACAGGCGTCATCTGTCATAAAGGCTGCTTCAGCCAACTTTGATCAAAATTGGCAAACACAACCTCTATTTCAAATGACACCTATTGGAATAAGCATTTAGAAACATTTATGTAGGGTTATGTCAGGTGTCATGACAAGCTTATGTTAGTGTCATGTATGAACAGAACCCTACAGTAAAATTATATCGGCTGATACTGTAAGTTACTGTACATTAAATTAGACATTCATTCTTCAAACAGTTAAAATTAGTTTATTATTCTAGTCCAAAACATCCACAGTTACAACATCACATAAAAAGGATATTTTAGCAAAGTTAACAATAGATATTTTAAGCGCACTGGAAAAATAGCTCAGGTTCTGATGCTATAGTGAGTTTGAGTGTGGCACAAAACATTGAAAGACAGACACTTGGAGGTTAAAGGTACAAAGAAAAGGTTCTAATCTAGTCAGGCGATCGCAGAATCGAGGCCTAATTCTGGGGTCAGGTAATCTAATAGTGCTGAACTGGATCATTTATTGCCTTCAATACATCCTCCTGAATATCCTTCAATCTTAAATGGAAGAGAATTTATAGAAAGTGGAAGCGGACAAAAACAGAATTTATCACACATACGCCTTCACAACAACTTGAAAAGCAGATGTAACAAGGACTGTGTAGTGAATTTACATAAAAACCTATGAAAATTATTTAGTAATGTGATTCTCTTTTACCTGCTGGTCTGGGCAATTTCTGGCTTTGAAAATCCCCACAATATATTCCATGTCTAACATTTATACAATATGTTAAAATACATATAGCTGTAAATAACTTCACTTATTCAGTGATCTATACAAACAGAAAGGGCAAAGTTGTGCTCACTGCTCCACAAACACAGCCATAAAAAGCTGCTGCCATAGTTACTGTGGATCTTTTTCACAAATCGCTTAATAATGCTTAACAGCATTACTCTTGCATAACGGAGTAATAAGGTTTCCGTGTTCTGCCAGTACAAATCCAGTTCCAGCAGACTGGCTTCTGCCTTCACTGCCAAAGCTTTCCCAACTGTAGACAGTGCTGCAACTTCGTCATGCAGGTGAATAAAAAGTACAAAACAAAGTCCGCAGCCGACGCCAACAGATGCCAATCAGTGCTGATGTAGAGAAACCCAGCGAAGGCCCACCTCAGTTCGAACCTCAGCCACTGCAGATCGCCTACGCTTTGTGGAAAGCAGAGGCCCTCAGGACCTCCATGCAGTTTACTGTGATGAGTGTTCCGGTGAGCTGTCTCCAGTGCCTGGTCACTGGACTCTTCATCTTGTCCAGGGCCAGATGTAGATCCTGGATCATGTCCCTGTAGCCATCGCCATACTGCATACTCCAGGAGTACAGGAAGTCATACGCAGGCTTCCACATTGACTGGAAAAGATTGTTAAACTAGCATTAAAAACCAGTTCGTTAAAGGGAAACCTGACTGTTAAGACATCATGAAAGCCTCAATATGGTGTACATGGCCAGTGATACTGGAACATGTTGTATAAACTAAGCAATACTTTATTAATTATTGAAAATAAACAACATCCATGCGGCATCAAATCATTGCACTCTCTCTTGTCCATTTCTCACAGGAACACTGAGCAAACAATGAAATTTAACTCAAATATATCATTCAGCCTTCCCAACTGGAGACAGAGCATGACATTACCAAAGAGACCGTTTTATTTTCTGTAGGCCACTGCAACCACATGACATCACAGTACAGGGGTCGGCAACCCAAATGTTAAGAAGAGCGATTTTGTCCTTTCAACATAAATCAAACCACCTTGGGAGCCACAACATTTTATGTGCATTTAACCATCTTGGCTGTAAATATGTCTCAGTATGTGTTAATGTACTAGTATAGACTAAAAATATAAATAAAAACACAGACTTACTCTGCTTTGCTTTAAGCTTTAGCTCAGCTACAACCGCTTTTCTCACATCTCCAGCAGGAAACTTTCCCACAAAAGTGGAACAGCCTCTTGTAAAATGTCTCTCAACATTTGACTTTGTACGAGGTTGAAGTCGCTTCTCATTCACCAGCTTCTTGTTCAAATTTTCTGGTTCCACCGTGGAACGGGACAATTCAAATGAGAAGCTGGCGAATGAAAAGCGACTTCAGCCTCACAACTTTTTAGTGTTTGTCAGTTTCTCGTTGCAGATTAAACTGTATCAGGAAACCAGCTGGAGTGATTATAAATGCAAACAAGTCCATCCGTCTCCAAATTATCGATGTTCGTCTTAAATCTCTCTCTTTGCCGTTTCGTTAGCTACTAGCTAGGCGAGACTGTTGTCTGTGTTGCTATGGTGACCAGCAGTCTGCGCTGATCTTCAGGGTTAAAGGGTGAATTAGCAGTTCTACATTAACTCCAGAGTTTAAGACCATTTATTGTTAAACTGTGTTGAACGATCAGCAGAGCTTTATTTTACTGTAAAGGAGGATTATTTTATTTTTACCTACAAATCTGATTCAGGAGCTGCAACAGGACAGTAAAAGACCCGCCTGTTGCCGTCCGCTGGTCTAGTAGAAAGGTTTTGCCTATTTGTCTTTTTTGTGTAATACATGAAATTTCCATTTGGATTATACGTGAGTTTAACAAGTGTTGTTATCATTTTTAGTCAAAGAAAGTGACAAACAATATTTAAGTTATTGGTTTGTTGCATTAAACGTCTCTAAGGCATTTCTGAGACAACATGCAGTTTGTGGTGGTCAGTACAGCTGAAAGAAGATGAAATTAAGGCAAGAACAGCAATGCTACAAGCATAAACAGTGCAGAGCTTCAGCAGACCTGAGACTATGACTCCTTGAAAAAGGCCAGTTGTTAAGAGTTGAAATCTGACCCTCATGACTAGTTGAACACACTGTTTACTCCTAACATACTATCTTTAACTGGTTTACACTTCATATTCTCTATATAACTGGGTTCTGCCCTCACTACGAGGCTGGACAGGTAGCAGAGAGCTTAATAATATCAGGCTAATGCCATATTAGACTTTTAGTTCAAGCCTTTAAATAAAGAGTTACTTAAAAACTGAGACATAAAAAGTAAAGAGTGTTACTTACGTGCCTGTTACGAGCTAAAAATGTCCGTATTTAAACTAGGGCTGTCATAAAAATCCCATATAGCTCGGAGCTAACCACGCAAGCTTGATGCTAACATATGCTAACATAGCTAGCTATGTGAAAATACAAGGAGCATTATCAAAGCACTGGTTTAAAAGCTAATTTCTACACTGCTTGCTGGAGAACGTTGGGTTGATGTGCTCTGGATTTTAAGAACGTAATTCATCCACCTTAGTAAATCAACCAGACACCCAACGATGCCTTGCATGAAATATGGAAGGCAAATCAAAGTGCAAACAGATGTTATGCTAAATGCTTATAACATCTCAAACTGACAGAAATGTTGGAGAGCATATAAATAATTGATGATCTTTATCTAATACATATGACCCAAATTGTAATCCACCTGACCTAACCACCTAGTACACCTGGACGACTAGCTGGTCAACCACCTTAACCTTCTTGGAGCAGCTAGAATCTAGCTAATGACCACCAAAGACCAGCCTAGACCATCTGAAACCTGCTACCAATGAAAGCTAGTCTTTTTTTTAATTTTTGATTCTAGGTAACTGACACGTTTATAGAATAATGACTCAAATCTGAGGGAGTGAAGTGGCTGGTGTTGAAGAAGACAATTGTGACAAAGCCATATATTTTGCTTCTTTCGGACAGTAATAAGAGCCGTGAACTGTGCATGTCAACCCCAAACTTTTCAGAGACAATCTAACTGAAATAAAACAGTAACAAGCTGTCTTGCCGTCATTGCCTTCACTAAAGCAGCGGTCAAAGGTAATGCCATCTCAAAACACAGAAGGAAAACGTACGGTGGATAAAGATCTAAATAATGCATTCCAGTTTTCCACTCTTCCCTAAATAAAAGTATGAATGTTAGATTTTGAAATATTAAAACTTGCTAATAATATCAACTGCAAAATAAGCTTGCAGGTAAGATGCTCACCTGGGCACTGACTTCTCCATTTTTACCCCTGTGTGGTGCCTCATAACCAGCAATCTGAGCATTGGTAAGTTTCCCAATTCTTTCAGCCAGTTCCCTCCATCTCACACCAAGCTCAACAGCTGTAGACAGAATGACTGTGTTCTGGATTAAGTGGGCTATAAGGCCCTGAGCATCCATTTTAAACAGCCCCTACCAGAAAAGAACAATATACATCATACAAGAAAATACTCATCAACATGCTCAAACAACAAGATCCTCAAAACATCAAATAACAATCAAGAGAAATTTATACAACTTACAACAATGAGTTCATGTTGAAATTTCCTTTTGGTTTTGTCTGTGTGACAGTCTTCCTTAAGCTTCTCAAGTACGCAGGCGACCTTCTCCGCTACTGTCTCGGCATGCCTCCTGGAGAAAGTGTCTACGGAGAGGTTTGAGTAACCTAGAGCTTCAGCAAAAGTCCTCCAACAAGTTAGGTGGTCTGTAACCAAGGTCTGAATGGCAGAGTACATGTACGTGAGTTTCTTGAACGGCAGCGTCATATTGTCCAACAGGGATTGTGTCGTGACTTTAACCCCAGAGAAGTCAATGACCTGATCTCTTGGGATGATCTTAACGTTCTTGCAGTGCACCAGGCCAATACTTCCCCTGAGAAAGCCAATATACCACTCCTTTACTCTGGACTGGCCGACCGATTTAACGGTTTCTCTGGAAAGCAAAGCAATTGTGTCACCTTTGAAGTACTCCAGAAGATAGTCCACCCTTGGTTGTCTGAGAACTGATTTCAGCGTCACTCCATACCACTGAACATTCACTACCACGTCTTGAAACTTTGGGAACTCCGGGACGGATTCTTCTGGAATGGGCGCTTCCCTGTGACGATCCAGATGTTTATGGCCATGCTTGTCTGATCTCAGGGGAGCGGCCTCCGGAGAAGTGATGTGGAAGTCTGTCAATGGGAGGGAATTTGAGTCCTTCACCTGGACAACCAGTATGAAAGAACCCATCTCTCCACTGTCTGTCTTGGAGAGCTCCAACGGCAGGTGGATCACTTTGGCCATCTTGAGCAGCTCCTTTTTGACCTCTTTGTTCTGATCAGCATGTTTCACTTCAAACTTTGAGTCAATTACGCTTGTTGTAATGTGCAAATCTTTTAGGCCACAAGGACTGAATCGGTGCTTTCCCCACAGCTGCAGGACTACTGGGGGCAAGTTCCTGTTTCCCTTTTGGAAGTCAGAGAAAGGAAGCCTGGGTGGAACGTTGTTGTGCCAAGAGATGACTTGCACGACTTTAAAAGACGGATGAATGTGCTTGGGGCCGTAGACTGCGACAGTGATATGTCGTTCTAGGTAGTCCCATACTGAGGTCGCTGGCAGCTGAATAACTGTGGCTTCTGCAGCAGCAATGACATACATGTGAGGCTTCAACTCCTGGAGCTTCATTTGTAACATATCCTTATATACGTAACAGTCTTTGACCTTTTCATAAGGTCCCTCCTTCCTTTGAGCAACCAGACCTACAAATGTTGTCATCACTTGGCTCAAGGGGTCATTCTTCACTTCAGCTGCCATTTTAATATCAAGCGTGATGCCTTCCGTAGTGTTGAGGTTGCTGAGACTGACTTCCAAAAGAGGGCTCACGGTCGCTGTGTAGTTATTGTTGATGCCACGTGGTGGATCAAGGCTTGCTTTGAGTGCCATTTCCTGGATCTCCCCTGGGGGGATATGACCTTGGGGAACATGGGCACTGATATCACAGTCCGGTAACTGCACAGAGCCTCCATTGTGATCGATCTTACACATAGTTTGCATGTCTGTAGCTTGGGTTTGGGCCCAGCCAGGACTTTGCTTCATCAGGTCGAGGTCCAAACAGGACCTGGTTAGCTGCCTGTGACTCAGCCAGGCCATTTTGTAAGCCTCCCGATCATTTTTCAGCCACTCAAAATCAGGTTTCAAGAAAGGTGCTTGAGCGTTAAGACTCTTCTCCTTCTTGGACTCCTTTTTCTCAAGATCGTCAAGAATGTCCGAGGCACTCCTCCATCGTCCGGACCGATTGAAGTTGGTCCTCCTGGGTTCCAGAAGATGGCCAAAATTGTTTTCGTCTGAGGATGTGCTTTCAGAATCTTCGTTACTATTCCCAAACAAAGCTAGAGGGTCTTCCTTCAGTATGGACACACCTGAATCTGTGGTGTTTCTGCAGACAATGTCATCTAGGAAAGGATTTGATCTCGAGAGTTCGTTCCAGAAGGGATTTGTTGTTTGTGCTGAATGCTGGACTTCTGGCTGTAAGATAGGCCATTCCAAGTTTTTGCCCATGTGTTGAGGTATGTAAGTCCCTGCCAAAAAAAAAAAATAAAAATAATAAAAACAGAAAATTTCTTTTTAATGGAATCCACAGTGCTGTATATCCAACAAGATACTGTACGATTACCTGGACACTCTACTAGGGTCATAATACAGCTTGTTTTAATACCAGTTTGAACATGCCCTTCTCCAACTGGTCTCATCTTTCCCATTAGGGCAATCCCCACTGTCATTTTAGGACCTTTAAAGTACTGTATTAGCTCAAGTGAAGTGATTTTGATACGCTCTCTCTCCCTCCTATAGTCTATGCATATAGCCTGGCTAAGTCTTGTTGACTGTTCAGCATGGACAAAATAAAAGAGACAGAATAATCAGTATTGCAAAGACCAAAATTGTGATAATGATTAAGAATCAATATATCAATATAGTGGCAGCCCCACTAGTCATCAGTACCAATGTGTGCAGAACAATTGCTCTTGAGCATAAAAAAAATAACTAAAGGTGAATCAAACATCACTGAAATCAAAAACAACATTCAGAATGCAACATCTACTGTATGCAGGATTACTGAACAGATAAATGAAGCTACTGGGGGTGTAACGAGTCTCCAAATCCATGGTTACGGTCAGATTTTTTGCCACAGCTCAGTTGATACCTCAGTTTGTTTTTTTTGGGGAGGTGAATAAGAAAGAAAATGAGGAAAATGTCTGGATTTTATTAATTCACCAATAATTTGGAATACTAAAGAATGGTATACAGCTTACTGTAACATAAAAAAAAAATAATTTACATGTGTTTTAGTGTTAATTGTGAAATTAAAAATGAGTTTTGTTACATTAGTATCACAATGAGAGCTCAACAGGCTGCACAGACCCACGACATGAGACCGTGGATGTTTGTATCACTGTTTTGGTCTCGGTTTCAGAAACATTACACCCCAAGAAGGTAGCGTTAAAAATGAAGACCATCTAAGGCACACAATCCCAAACATGTACAGTCAACGTTCAGGCATGCATTACACCCTCCAAAGCTTGCTCAGTCATTGTTATTGGAGATGTAACAAAAGACGGCCACACCACAACAGGTTTAGACATGTCAAGAAAAACATTTTTGCCTATTCATGAAAATGCATAGAGACTCATTAAACGGTGCTTCACAATGGCAAAGGCAAGACACTTTTGATAGTTCAGCACAGGAGTCTTTGACTTGCCATTGACCTCATCCAATATTTATCCAATTATTTTTCATTACACAAAACCAAAACAGCTTTGCAAAGAATCTTAAAAACAGTGAGATTACAGGAAACAGCAATTGTTGTTTCAATGTAGTTGTATTGGAACAAATAATAACAGTGGTCCCAATACTTATGTCCACCTCAGTCCCTTTACACACGAGTTATATATGCCCAGAAAATACCCCAAATTAAAAGGTAATATTAGTCATATTTGTCATTGTCACTTTAACTATAACTTTGAGTATACAGCACAAACAGAAGCTCTTCCCTGATAGCAAGAGGACAGTGGTCCACTGTCGGCCTGCTAATGGCAAAGCTGGCGGTCCACTAGCGGTTTGCTCAGCATTTTCCGGGTGGTCCACTGGCAGTTAAGTGGAGTATTAGACAAAAGTCCACATACTATCGCTCATTTTCTACTCACAGTCCAATCTGCTGATTTTTCTTTCCTTTATTTCTTTAGTTACACTTCGTAATTTGATTTAGTAAATCATTTTAGTTTTTATTTCTAGCACAGTGTCAACAACAAAATTTACTATAAGATCATTTCACATTAGGACTAGTCATTATTTTTTTTTCTTGGTTGTTTGTAATATTTGTCTTAGTTTATTTTCTAAAATAAAAGTCTCTGTGTATTTAAAATCTGTTTGGGGAGATTAAAAACTAGGTAGAGCTTGTATGCAGGACAGTAATGTGGGTGGTGCGAGAGTGGACCAGCAGTGGCAAACAGTCAGTGGGGTGCTGACCTTATCAAACCAGGGGTGCTGACCTTAACTACACTGTCCAAATACTTTCCAAAGGGAATGAGTATATTAGTAACGTAGTATGATGTAAAAGCATTTATGTTGCTGCATTTACATCCTTTTTTATTTCAAAATTGAAAATACTGAAAGTTTAATGTGCTTACATGGTCACCAAATAAGTAACACATACAGCTTCCACTCCAACACCAGTCAGTTGACTATGCGGCAGTAAATTTCACACCCTCTATCAAACGACTGTTAAATCTTACACAGCGCAGCTAGCATGATAACAGCTCTGCTCACCACAGAACATGTTGAATCCTGGCTGTAACTAAAACACTGAAGCAAGTTTAGATGATAAATGATTAAAATCTGAGGGAATGAAGTCGAGCAACCGGCACTGAAGAGACAGAAAGGTGAAATTAAACCTGTTCTGGGTGTTTGAACCCACAGCCTGATTGACTAACGTAACATTAGCTTAGCAAGGCTACAGACCAAACAGTGCCACATACCACAGCTTTGATTCTGACTAACTGTTACTGTACACTTGAAACAAGTGTAGAAGGTAAAAGGTAATGTCTGAGAGAAAAAGTGTAGCGACTGACAGAAAGCAGAAATCGAACCTGTGGCGTTTGGGATTATAGCATTTTGGCTAAGCTAACGATATCTTAGTTAGCCGATAGCTTAGTTAGCAGGCCAAACTTGCCACACACCACAACACAAGCTGGGTTCCAGCTAAGTGAAGCTGAAATGACCCATTTAGAGGATATCTGAGGCCGCATAGTCAACTGACTGGTGTTGGAGTGGAAGCTGTATGTGTTTTGTGGTGTTTGGGATTGTAGCACTTTGGCTAAGCTAACGATACCTTAGTTAGCAGGACAGACACACCACAGTACAGGCTCCAGCTAACTGAAGCCTAAACAATGGCCATTTAGAGGATATCTGAGTGCGCAGAGTTGACTGACTGGCGTTGGAGCGGAAGCTAAATGTGTTCTATGGTGTTTGCGACTGTAGCATTTTGGCTAAGCTAGTGATAACTTAGTTAGCAGACCAAACATTCCACACACCACAACACAAGCTCAGTTCCAGCTAACTGAAGCTAAAATGACCCATTTAGAGGATATCTGAGTGCGCAGAGTCGACTGACTGGTGTTGGAGTGAAAGCTGAATGTGTTCTATGCGGTTTGGGACCGTAGCCTTTTGGCTAAGCTAACAATAATTTAGTTAGCAGGCCAAACATGCTACAACACAAGCTCGGTTCCAGCTAAGTGAAGCTGGAATGACCCATTTAGAGGATATCTGAGAGCGCAGAGTTGAAGTACTGCTGTTAGAGTGAAAGTGTGTTCTGTGGTGAGTGGGGCGCTTAGCCATGGCTGAGCTGCTATCATGCTGAGGTTTTATCTGCTACTAATTTTAATTTTTGACATCTTTCTGTAAGTGCCACCTATCGGTGGGCTCCCTTACCACCAATCAGTGACCCCTCTAAAATATAAATGTGCTCATTTAGCCGTTCAGACATGGAGTAGAAATTTGACAGGCCATTATTACTGTTATACAACACAACCCTAACCCTGACACAATTTTACTCCATTAAGAATACACAATTCCCATTCTCCTTAGATTGTCCGACCTTAATTACCATGTAAGTTGTTGTTGTTGATGGTCACATTGTCGTCCAGATCTATCAGAGTCCCTTCTGATCGACTTCGAAGCAGACTACCAGTGCGGCGGATTGACTTGCTTCTAACAGCTGCCATCTTTTACATCTGAAAGTAGAAACATTTGGTAAGAGATAAATGCACCTTCAATCACATTACAGTGCATCGTGACCGCAGTCTCGAAACATGGAAATGAGAAAAGGAAGTAATGCACTGATTCCATTTACTGGATTGGTATTGGCACTGATACGGACCTTAGATGAGTCAGAGAACAGTCAGACATGACTGATCCACATTCAGTACTACTGCTTGTTAGTCACAGGCCACGAGAGGCTGTGGGTTACTGTGATTTTATAAATAAATCGATAAAATCGCAGTAACGCACTACCTTGAGTGGTTTACAGCTTTTATAAATCGGCGGCCAACATAAAATATATTAAAATACACAATGTTTTAGATAATAATTTAAATTATCATTAAAAATAATTGACTTAAATAAGTATTCCGCCAAGAAATGCAGTTCCTTTAGAGTGCGGTATTGCTAAGCAACCACTGACCGCTGAATGAGGAGAAGGTTCAGTCACCTATCGCTGTATATTGCGGTCATTTCATGATTTTTTTAAGTTTTTGTTGTATAAGAAAGAACATATGATAATACAGCGCTGTTTAATGCACAAACTTTCGCTTAATAAGTACTTTTTGGTCACCATATTACCATCACAAGTCTTATTTAGCACCAAGCTAACGGTGCACGTCTTCTCATGCTGGGGCTGAATCTCAAATGGCTCCCTGCTCCCTACAACACCCTGCATATTATGTATTCCTCCACCATGAATGGAGTTTAAGCTCTCAAAACTATCGTGAAACAGTGTCTCAGTCATCAGGCAGTGAGTTCATAACCATTTACTGTAGTAACTTTCTGTGAGGGAGCTTTTAGAGGTGGACGTCTGGTTCCTATCACCACCACTGTGAACATGGCTTGTAACAAAGCAGAAATGTTGAACGAAACTATGGAATTTTCTTTCAATTACGTCTGAACGATATCAATTGTAGAGCTTTAAGCATGAGTCATGCTGGACACTGAATCAGCTTCACAGGAAACATTCTGGTATTTACCTTGATCGTGAGTCAGTGATAAACACAGAAATTTTAAAGATGCTATAACGATAACCAGACAAACTGGCTTCCTCAAAGGCAGAAAATATTAACCTTCTCATATGAAAATCTGTCCATAAGCGTTCTGTTTACACTATTTGGAATTAGTGTTTTCAACAATATAAAAGCAGTACAGCTGCAGATAAACATACAGACTAATTATAATATACTAGTCCTGCCAAACTGCATCTATCTGTATATAACAGATAATTAGTAAGAAACCGTGAAATGACAAAAGAGAAGAAAAAGTAGAAATTTTAGGTGAACACACTCTTTTCACTGGGGTGGTTCCCCCAAGGGTCCCTCTTAGTACCTATAGTCAGTGAACATAACTGTACCATAATTATATTATTATAATTGTGATTGAAGTTGTTCTGTTTTAAAACATTCGGTTATGAAAATGTACAAATACAAACTTTTCACCTGGAAAAACTTATTTAAGGTTCACAATCAGACCTTAAAACCACTGTTGTACCTTTGAGGGAACATGTAATGTACATGTCTGTACCTTGAGATTAATTGTAGATTTTTCTACAATGTCTGCATACATTTATAATAAAATAGTGAATAACATGCATTATTTATCAGTTAATAACGTGCTGCTGCTGAAACACATTAAACATTAACTACAACTAAAATCTAAAAGTACAAAACAGTTCATCAAGGATTCTTTGGTACCTACAGAACCAGAATTTGAAGACCGATTTGAATAGTTTATTGCTTTGCTAAACTATTCTTCTCTATGATGAAAAATTCTGTTGTATATGGTTCTTTAAAGAACATTAAAACAGGTTCTTTACAGCTTTCTCAGTGTCACTGCCGGACTGAGAATAGTCCACCAACCAAAAATATCCAGCCAACGGCGTTCGGTGGGCAGCGTCCTGTGACCACTGATGAAGGACTAGAGGATGACCAACACAAACTGTGCAGCAGCAGATGAGCTATCGTCTCTGACTTTACATCTACAAGGTGGACTGACAAGGTAGGAGTGTCTAATAGACTGGACAGTGAGTGGACACTGTGTTTAAAAACTCTAGCAGCACTGCTGTGTCTGATCCACTCAGACCAGCACAACACACACTAACACACCACCACCACGTCAGTGTTACTGCAGTGCTGAGAATGATCCACCACCCAAATAGTACCTGCTCTGTGAGGGTCCATAGGGGGTCCTGACCACTGAAGAACAGGGTAAAAGGGGGCTAACAAAGTATCAGAGAAACAGATGGACTACAGTCTGTAACTGTAGAACTACAAAGTGCACCTATATAGTAAGTGGAGCTGATAAAATGGACAGTGAGTGTAGAAACAAGGAGGTGGTCAGAATGTTATGCCTGATCGGTGTGTAAACAACACTGTAATAATAATAATAATAATAATAATAATAATTACTATTACTATTATTATTACAACCACAATGTTTTTTATTCAGTGTTTTGTAAACTGCGCCATTCACTGGGGCGGAACCCTCAGGGGTTCATCTCAGTACCTTTAGTCAGGGAACATAACTGAACCATAATCCACTGAAATGATATGTTCTAAGCTGTACTGACTCCACACACCCCGTCTCGTCTCCAGGCTTTTATTTTACTGTTCTGTTTTAAAACATTCGGTTATGAAAAGGTACAAATACGAACTTTTCACCTGGAGAAACTGATTTAAGGTTCACAATCAGACCTTAAAACCACTGTGGGAGCTTTGAGGGAACATTTACACTGTTTGTACCTTGATGAACGAGAAATATACCTGAACAGAACCTGTATTTCGAACAGTGTAGAATTAAGCAGGCCTAATTATGCTCTCTGTATTGAAACATGTAGTTAGGCGAGTCCTGATAATACCACAATATGCTCTGAAAAGTGTACTGTGACTTAATTTTTCACAATAACAATATAGTCATATTGCCCGTCCCTACTGTAGCCTGAGGGTGGTATTGCTATTATAGGCCACCTCTGCATACATTCCTATCATCCTCAAGTAAACAGTCAGCTACTGCTGAGCACAGATGGGCAGCTGTTTCCAACGGAACCATAAACTGCGTCTGCGTAGACATTCATTCACCGTCTAGTGCTTCATGGCGACGTAAGTACGTCATTAATTAGGTGGTTCACAAAAAAACAGGTCCGTCTTGTCTTGTCTGAATGCAGCAAACACATTGGCTCTATTCAAATCACCTGCCTCCACACATGCACCTGTTTGTGTCCGAAACCATAATACGGAAATGAGGGAAACCCCCACTACACTCGAAAAAAACAGGGTTCTTCAAGGGTTAAAGAACCATTTGCATGCTTACATGGTTCTTTGCATGGTGAACTGGATCTTTATTGATGGTGAATGTGTTGCATATGGTTCTACATAGCACCAAAAACGGCTCAGATGTCAAGTTTATAACATAAGAACCCTTTTTGGTGTTTTGGGTTCTATGTAGAACCATATACAAAACATTCTACATCAATCTGAAGAACCATTTCGCCATGTAAAATAGGCATTTAAGCACGCAAATGGTACTTTAAGTGTTCAAGGATCCACACAGAACCACTGTCTACAAAAGAACCCTTAAAGAACCAGATTTAAGAGTGTAGTATCCACTAGAACCCAACAGACTGAGCGCCTTCTGAACCAGCCAGCAGCGCTGAGTTTACTCAAGTAAGCAAATAAGTGCATAAAAAGTCCCTCGTGAGGCAGGTGTGCGCGTGAACCCACACGGGAACGCGCTTCCACCTCACCTGTTCACTGTTTCACCTCTACGTCGCCGGAGTTACCTGCTTATTCGCTACCTTCTCGTTATCGTTCCACCTTAAATGCTACAGGCGCCAGAACGTAACTGCTGCAGCATTTAAGGTGGAACGGAAAGTTCGAACGAGTTGCTGGTGAATATGAAGCCAACTTCATCCTCGTGCGATGAGAAAATCACTTTAAATCTTGACGTATCTGTCTGGCTGCCCGTTTTGATCATTAATAATCCAAAAAAATCAATTAATCAATTAAACCTCTCTCACCTGAAACGCGGCTGAGAACTTTCCACTCTCCACGTCCACTAACGTTCCATTCTCCCATCAACAGGGAGTGTCACAAACACACACACACACCTTGCACGTTCGTGTACCCGTCTCCACTGTTTGCCTTGTAAACAAATGCATTGTGGGATTTGTAGTTCGCAAAACCGGCCACACTGCTCAAGCCGTTCTATTCAGGACTACCCTACCCAGAATCCCCCTGTTTGGTGAGAATGAAGCATTGCAACACCTGAAACTCTGAAACTCAAAGTGGTTTCGGTGTGGGGGGGGCGGGGGGCTGTTTTTTATTCTCTAAAAGTAATTTATAGTTCATATTTCTCTCTCTGAGAGCTTTTACAAACATGAGTTTACTCTTAAGAGGCTGATTATCACCCCTTTAGGGAGCAGTAATTGACTAAAGAGGTCTCAAACAAAGCAGTTAGCCAGAGAACGCAAAGGGGAAGTCCACCGATTTTTAAAAAGTTCTGCATAGTTCAAAAACGACACAGTTTAAAACCAACAACCAAGTGATTTCATATTTTGGAGTAATTTAAAGAGGAATTCCCCCCATTTTCTAAAAATGTCTACATAATTAAAGGGTTACAATGTAAGTAAAGTCGTTCAGAGTGGTTTGGTGTGAAACGCTCTGTTCTAGATAAACCTACCGAGTCAGAACTGTTCACAGTGGTGGTGATAGGAACCAGACGTCCACCTCTAAAAGCTCCCTCACAGAAAGTCACTACATGAAATGGTTATGAATTCAGTGCCTGATGATACATTTTAGACCACAACCTTGCTCAGAAAAGACACTCAGGACTAAGACTTAAAGGAAATAGGCTTAAGGGTTGCCATTAGAGACCACTAGTTTCCTGTAGAATACCTTCCCTTTAGGAATCACCATCAAGTGCATCAGGAATCAGAACACCTGTTAATCCAGAGTCATTTACACTGTGACATATAAACCCATCAGGAAAACACAGAATATCATTAGTGACTACTGGACACCAGCAGACACCTTTAATGGCTTCTATGATGTTAGGGGCAATGAGTTCCTCATTGCTCTTTTGAGTATGTGCTAATTCCCTGAGACAGTGGTTCTAGGCCTGCAAGGTTCAGCTGCTCACACACTTATCTCACAGATGCTGCTGCACTGCAAGAGGAAGAACTAACATAGCCAGAGAACACAAAGGGGAAGTCCACCAATTTTTTAAAAAGTTCTGCATAGTTACAAACAACACAGCTTAAAACCAACAACCGAGTGATTTCACATTTTGAAATGATGTAAGTAAAGTCATACAGAGTGGTTTGGTGTGAAACGCTCCGTTCTAGAGAAACTTACCGAGTCAGAATTGTTCACAGTGGTGGTGATAGGAACCAGACGTCCATTGTTCCTTTCAAACGTTTCCAAATAAGGCAGATCATTATTTCTGGATTTGAGCTTTTTATTTGTTTATTTATGTATTTCTTTATTTATTTATTTTTGTTTTTATTCAACAACAAACACACAACACATACGGGTCATTCTACAGAAACGTCCATTTTTGTGTCCCTAGCGTTTACAGATATATTACACTTCAAAAACATGTTAGGGCTACATTTTATTTATTTTTAAAATAAAACAGTAAGTTATTTTAACAGTTACACATTCTTGAGCCTCAATTTATCGAATTTTGGTTTTTAAATCAATTATCTAGAATTCCAATCACCACAGAAGAGCTCGTCCTCACAGTCATGTGTGAAGGCTGAGGCCATATTTTGAAGAAAAAAACATGTTTTTCTGCAGTTTTAACTACAATAATCTATACATGACTATGAAATATATGATTTAAATGACATAAAGATGAAATGAAACAAATGCCAAATAAATATTATAAAATATATAATGAAAGTTGTCCCCAGGAGTCGTGTCACTGGTGTTACTGTCTAACAAAAAATCTCTCATTTTGAAATAAAAGTCACACTGATGACATCACTGGACTTCCTTTTACCTGTTTTCTGAGGATCTATGAAGAAAAGCTCATGGTGAGTCCACTGAGTCTTTCAGTTATCAGAGATTTTCTCATTCAGCTCATGATTTCATATGAAGCTTTTAGCTGAAGTCACTGGTGTGACCGACTTTATTCTGAGGTAATTGTGAAAAAATAGAATACAAATGGATTAAATTCCATATTTTAGTGGATATTCCATGACTGACAACATGTGGTTTGATGTTCTGTAGCAGCCGTTTAGTAAAACGCATTGTTCATTAAAAATGTCTCTGGTGTTCCTTTATTATGTGTAACACCAATGAGGATCAGTAACACCGTGACTCCTATGGAGAGACAGAGAAGTGGACGTTTCTGTGGAATGACCCAAATACAGTTAGAAAAGATTATTTTTTAATAGCTCTATGAGTTCTACATAGAACCATTTCATGCTAAATGGTCCTTTTCATGGTCAAATGATTCTTCAGATTGATGGAGAATGTGCTGTATATGGTTCTAGATAGAACCTTTTTGAAAAGGGGCCTACTGTAACAGTAGTGGAACCCTTTTAGGTGCTTTTATAGAATGATCTACAACACATTCTCCATCAAACTGCAGAACCACATGTAGAGGTACTGTTTTGTCTTGCGACCCACCAAATATTCTGTGAAGGGAAAAGACATAAACATGTTTAAAAAGTCTGTATGTTTTGTTTAGTAAAGGCAATGATTTCATTACAAACCATGAGTTCAATATAGAACCATTTCATGCTTAAATGGTTCTTTGCATGGTGAAAGCGTTATTCAGATTGATGGAGAATGTGTTGTGTATGGTTCTATACAAAAGGGTTCTTCTGTTGTCACAATGTCAAGCTTGTAACAGCCCTTTTTGGTGTTATATAGAACCATTTTCAAAAAGGTTCTAAATAGAACCATATGCAGCATCAATCTAAAGAACCATTTCACTATGCAGAGAACCATTGAACAATGAAATGGTTCTATATTTAACTCATGGTTTTTAATAGAATCATTGTTAAATCAGTCAGAAAAAGCTTGCTGGGTTTCACTGAAATGGCTGAAAGCTAACAGCATTAATCCTACATTTTCTGCATTTCTAATTCTGATTATTACCTTTTTAACTACTGCAAAATAAACAACAACAATAACAAAGAAGGAACAGAATGTTAAGCCCAGTCCCATTTCTTCTTTTCACCCCTTCCCCTTGTTTTCGAGTGTCACCCTAACCCTTAACTGAGTTGCAGGGTAGTGGTTGAAATCTTCCCTCTGAAATGGGACCCTCAAATAAAAAGAGCATCACTTCATTAACAGCTAACAGCGCTGCTCTGTAGGCGACCCTGCCAGTCTGCAGTGACAGCAGAGGAGGGTAAAGTTCAGCTCCTCACTGCTGGGCTTTAGTTACATTTAGGGCATCATATGACTTCAAAGAGGGGGGCAATTATTTATTATCACCACCCCTAATTCTTCAGTGATATGAAGCTGAAGTCAGATATTCACCAGCTTCTTGTTAGAATTTTCCCGTTCCACCTTAGAGTGCAGCAGTTACATTCTGGCGCTTCAGGCGTCAGAACTGCTGGGCTATTTAAGGTGGAATGGGAAAGTTAGTTAGCTAGCTACCGAGACATTAGCATCTATTAGTGATTTTTTTTGCTTGTTATGAAGAAAACGACCAAAATACACTGAAATGACATTAAACTAAGATAATATGATGGTTATCGTAATTTTTTAAAAGAGAAAAACCCACATTTGTGTGTTTCTTTGGTCTCTTGTTCTCCATCTTGCCTGTTTTTCTTTTTTTCTCATAACTCTCTGTTTGGAGTCTCTGAAAAACCTCTGTTTGGAGGATCATGAAACCCCAACACTTCACCCTCCCCCTCTATCTCAACAAGAATTGGGACACCCAACCCCTCGACGAGAATGCGCAAAACAGAGGGGTAGGGCTGAGTGGTAGGGGCGAGGGGTGAAATGGGACTGGGCCTAAGAAGGACTGTTTGACAACTTGCAATGGAGATTGCAACTGTGGCACATTTTCAAAGCTTGGATTTCTAATCCAGGTGTCACATCTGTTGCTGGTTCCCCTCACGCCAACAGAGGTCTCACTCACCTGAGTACATTTTGACAGATGCTTTTATCCAGAGCGACTTACAATTTGATCATTTTACACAGGTAGGTGAGGGTAGTGTTAGGAGTCTTGCCCAAGGACTCTTATTGGTATAGTGTAGGGTGCTTATGCAGGCAGGGATTGAACCCCAGTCTACAGGGTAGAAGGCAGAGGTGTTATCCACTACACTATTCCAGCCACTACTGAATCATGCTGACACCTGTTGCTAATCAGAAGCCCTTTAGTGGGCTACTGAACTAAGCTTGGTGCGAAGTCTTGTTAAGGTTTTCCTAGCAATTCTGAGCAGTGTATTCCTTGTATGTATTCCTTTTTAATTTAATTTATTTTATTATTATTTTTTTTTACTCAGGGACTGCAGTTTGAACAGTTTCAGTAAAATGGTACATATAATATTAATCTGTTGGCTCTAATATAGTGTGGGTCAAGGGAGAAAGAATTACAGAGACCTTACTGTTCACACTGTACGTTCAGTATATCGTCACTGTACAAAGAAAACCATGTATCTCCATTTTTGTTGATTTTTATTTTTCTACATCGCTTCAACACACCAGCTGTCCTTTACACTGTGTACAAATTTCATGATGAATGGACCAATAGAAATGCTCTAAAATCACTTGGAATAAAATCTCTTCACATAGACTTTCATTGAGAGGTGAGAGTGTTTTTGTCTTCTCCTGTAAAGTTACTATTTTGGAGATACTTGGTTTTCTGTGGACAGCGACGATATGACAGATTATGTTCATCTGATATCTGGGATGAAATCAGAAAAAAGCCATATTGTTTTATGGTTTCATCATTCTTATAATGCTAATTAAACAGTTTGTTTTGTTTTTTTTTTACTCTGGGACCGCAGTTTAAACTTATTGAGTAAAATGGTACATATAATATTAATCGGCTCTAATATAGAGTTTGTTGCCCTTCATGAAACAGTTTGCTGTCTTAAAGTGTGCTGTCCTGCAGTCCAACTCCAACATAACCACAGTTTTCAAAGAGAAATTCACAATTATTCG